GTGAATCTAGCCAGCAATGCGGGCTATCTTGGACTACGCGCTGGGGATGCCAGTGTCACCGAAGGTGCCGAGTTTGGGTTTCGAGATCTACGGGTATGGCCACGATCCACGATTGCAACGACGATGGCTAGGCCGCGCGTCGTGCTCGCGGGGCTGTCGACTATCAGCTTGCAGTTAGCAAGTGGGGAGTGGATGCCGAGGTGCGTTAGCGTCGTTTGGTCGTTCTTCCGATAACTCAGACCCCTCTACAGTGCGACATACTTCTGGGATTGACCCCCCGCCGGATGTCTTGCCCAAACGACAACCTCGGCTGCTGGGAACCGCACCCTATTGTGCTCGCTCGCACCGCGCGGGTCTCGGGCCGCCGACTGCCTGATGCTCTTCCTCGTGGAAGAAAAAGTGGTTGCATAGGGAACGGAGCTCGAGGCGCGCACCCGACACAGGCGCGTAAACCGGGCAAGCCATGGCACTGCTCCCATTGCCACACAGCCTAGAGGCCTCAAATGATGGGAGCACTGCGGTGCGCAGCACTAGCACGACTGAGCAGCTTACACATCTCAGCTGGACTGTGAGGCCCGCGCCGCATGTCGCAGATAGCACATAGCCATCCTGGTATGTCATGCGCGCAACAACTGTGAATTCGACTTTACTGTTTTTCAGTTGTATTTGCAGGCGACTGGATGGCTCTGAACATACCAGGCTGCAGCGCGTCTAACCGTCCACGCAATCAGTGGCACTGTCCAATGAATGCGTGTAATCGGAGTTTGAATCGCGGCGCTTGTTCGGATCACATCAGCCCAACCGGAGTCATAACGACGAGCTCGGTCCCGTACGCTGCGGCAGGCAGGACACTGCCAGTGAGGCATTGTCAGTTGTATAAAACGATGCAGCTCCCCCCAGCGAAGCCCAACACTGGATGTTCCCGCCATTGCAAGATGTCGGCGAGCTGTATCCAGGCGTGATAGTCTGGTGTAACCCGCGTAGCCGCGAGGTCGAGCGTGCGGCGTTGAGGGTCGGCGAGGTATATGATGCACGGAGGACACGGGAGCTAAAGCCTTGCCTAGTGGTGGATGTCGACTACGCGGCGTGCACGATTGCGGTTGCGCGGCTCATTGCAAGCCCAGTACGTGCTCTCTCTCGCCCGCCAAAATGATGCTGCTGATGTTATTCTAGCCCGCGGATACTCGCAACTGGAGTCGGATTGACGGCGCACCGAGCATTGCGTGGGTCGTGCCGGATGCGTGGATATGGGTTGGGAAGCCGCCGCGCATCCCGATCGTGCTAAACAGCACCAGGATAATGCATCGTAGGTGCTGTTGGTTGCTACTGCTATGTGTGTTCTCATAAATGACGTCAGGACATAGCAATGAGATGTACAACACACCGCCACTTTCTACCGCCAACCTGTCGGCATACCGAGCTCGCCGCCGCTTGTATTGTGGGACGACCACAGAAGACGTGGGGCCGGTCACGGCGCAGAACGGGCAGCTCTTTGCTAGCCTGGCGCCACGGCCGGTAGTCGTACCGATGGGATTCACAGAGCAGAATCCATGGTATCCCGGTTGGTGGCGGAACCCGGAGACAGGCTGGTTTTGGAGTGCAGTCGAAGGATTGAGGCCGCTGCCGCGGTAATTGATAGTTGTTAACTAAACTAACGTCCTATTGTCATTAGCTACCCATCTAATGAGGAATTTAATTATTTTTTACGAGTTCCGACGCTGACAAGGCTGTTGTGGTGCTGGGGATTTGGGTAATTGTTGCCTAGCTTGCGAACAGTACGAAAGTAGCGGGTAAGTGCGGAGTCTGTTGAGCACAATAAAAAGTTAGGGCAAATTTGAGAGGATGTGGAATGGACCTACAACGCCAGGGGGGCACTCGGCATCAGGTGAAACGGACCAACGTTCATGACGGTGAATGGTCTGCAACAGGAAGAGTGGAGCTGGGAGCCGCGGCAAAGCTATGAAGCATAGTCGTGTGGGAATGAAAGCCGGAAGAACGCCGGAGAGCGTCAAAACTGCCTCTCTGCATTTGACGGAGCACCTTACACGTGAGATCGCGCTGGTCCGTGCGCCGCACGTCAATCACAGGCCGACTTGGTTCATTTCGCCCACCTTTCCCCTCTCCGCCCATCTTTGGTCGCTCGTTCGTGTCAGACTCAGACGGCGATGCTTTCGACGCCACGGACCCAGACCCTGGACGACGTAAAGGCAACAGCACACACGCGTAACGGGCGGGAGGTGGACTGTCGATAGCTGCTATAGGGCGTGAGGTGCGTTCCTTCTACTGCTTCGGAAAATACCGCTTACCTGTTCGACTCCATCCAGTTTTGCTTGGGCTGGAGCAACAAAACGTCTCGTCTGGGTGGCCCGACGGCCAGACTATAAGGTTCGTCGTCCTCAATCATCGTCCCCAGAGCAAGGCCGACACGACTCTAGCCCTCTGCCGCTCGATGTCCTTTGGCCTGCGTTGCGGCCAGGTGGATTGCGCCGGCTGTAACGGCTGGTGGTGGGCTTGAGCTGACTCCAAGCTAGCCGCCGATGTCCCCGACGAGTAAGCAGCTGGTTCTGCGCACCACCCCCGCGGAGTGCCAGAGAGCCGTTAGAAAAAGAGAGCCCTTCATGGACAATTACAGTCTTGAAATGTGTCGTAGTTTCTGTTGAAGAAACTAGACAAAATATTCGATGTTTATTAGAGTAGGACTACCAAGTATTTATACTACTCTCTTTATTCTAGTATATTCTGTATTCTGAGTCAATAGAAAGTGGGAGAACATTCCCGACGCGCCGAGCGTCGGTGATGGCGCAGCCGCTGACGTCATCTCTCGGCGATGACTCGGGTTCGCCAACCCGCTTACTTCAACACTCCCCCTCGAACACGAGTCGAGCCGTGCTTTCGCAAGCATGGTGCGCAGTGGAATACCTCGCCTGGGTTAGAGGCTTTCTTGTGGTGTTGTAGACTCCCCCTTTCTCCATGCAGTCTCTGATGCTGACTGTAAATCCCAGTGTCTGTTGCCCATGTGCCGTTTGCTGCTTGGCCGTTCCTATGGTCCTTCCTGGCCGCCCTCGGCGCCAGCGTCAACCCGGAGTCCATGCCGTGCCCATACCAAATCCGTTGCCGCGGCCCATAAGCCCTCGGTGTCCATGTCCGTGTCCGCGAGTACATTCCCATGTCGTGTCGGTAGCCTCCGGCCCGGTTCCAGTTCAAGTCCATCCAATTCCGAGTCCGACTGTGATCCAGCCCATCGTGGCGATCCCTTTCGTGACTCTGTTCCATTCCATTCCAGGTCCCAACCAACTGATCCAGCCCATTGGCGATCCCATGGCGGTAACCCATCCCAAGCCAAGTCCATGCCGCTCCGGCGCGCCGTGAGCCCGAAGCTGTGTCGATGACCGATCTGTGCTGACCATGCTCATCTGTCCGTGTGCTGGCGATGCTGAGCCATCTGCCATCCGTGATCGAGTGTCCGGTACGGTGTCGTTCCCTTCGCCGCTCTTTCCCCGCTGCTCTGCCAGCCCATTGCCGTAGAGGGATCACATCCCCAAAAGGCTGCTCCATGGAGCCGTCCCATCGCGTGGTCGCTGTGTGTCGGAGGAGGGTGGTGCAGGGGATAATAAGTGGTGTCGCTACTGTGGGGTGCTTGGCCAATGTGAGGTGCCGGGGCCCATAACCTGTTGAAGAAACTAGACAAAATATTCGATGTTTATTAGAGTAGGACTACCAAGTATTTATACTACTCTCTTTATTCTAGTATATTCTGTATTCTGAGTCAATAGAAAGTGGGAGAACATTCCCGACGCGCCGAGCGTCGGTGATGGCGCAGCCGCTGACGTCATCTCTCGGCGATGACTCGGGTTCGCCAACCCGCTTACTTCAACAGTTTCTGGAGAGACTGCATGCCCGTGATTATGTGGCGGAAGTAAGAGTGGGTCTCAGTGGGAGCCTCAGGCTCTTGGGAGCATTATTTGTCGAGTCAGCGGCACAGCGCGCTGTCGAGACCCTCCAGTGATGCATGAAATAGGTACTTGTCGACACCGTAAATCCTCGGGGAAATACAAGGCAAGTGAACCACGCACTTGAATCAACATACCATCTTGCCTCCATGGGCACCGCGACCCGCGCCAAGCGCGCGCGGCTTGTTCTTCGCTGTTGACAGCTGGTTCTGGCCAATTTTTTAATCCGCACAATCTTCTAGCGAATCAGTCTGGCTCGTGGATAAAGGCAAGGCCATCGGCTCACCTAAGACTCATGCCCACTTGCTTGAGCATTTGTGAAGTACCGCGCAGAATGCGTGTGCTGCGTTCGGCGTCGTCGTGGAGCGGAGTCAAGGAGCGTGAGACCGCTGATCGGCATCCGGATCGACGTCACCGTGTGACCGATTGATGTCAATCCTTCTTCTGCGCCACGACCTCGACTGGCGGCGGGTACTCGCGCTCGGCTCCGCCATTCTCCGGCGTCGGACTATCAGTACACACTAGGCAATGTCATAAACGTGGAACTCTGGCTCAACGCGTTGTCTACAGCCTGCAGGCCCAAGCAATTCGGTGCTCAAGCCCCTTCACGCGTGAATTGGCGCGCGATCTTGTCTCTCTAGACAGACCCGGCGTCGCATGACTCCGCTAACGCACGATCGGGTCTATGTGTAGGGTGGGCGATCTGAAGCGTCCGAACTGGCGGGATGGAGCTTCGTGATCGATAGCCAAGGTGTGTTTTAACTCTCTTCCTCCCTATGACTGCTCGCTGCTCATTTACCTTCCGCGGTCGCGGTGCACCACACACACCTACTAGAAACCGCCAACTCCCCGCAGCAAGTCGTTTAGCTTGGGGCCTGGGCCTTCCTGCTGCGTCTCCGACACCGGGCGATCGACATCTGCGCCTGCCCCTCCGCGGACCAAGCGCCATTCAAAGCGCGCGGGCCATCCTATCCCACGCGGCGGTCCAACCGTGGACACGCACCGTATAAAGGCAAGCCGCTGCCCGTGCCAGGGGGAAGCAACTAATCCATGTCCGCCTCCCACTCCACCTTCGAGCGTTTGCCGCCCGAAATTCTCCACCTCATCGCAGAGGACACCGACAGTCATGACGACAACGCTCTCACGAGACACGGCTCTACCCTTGCCCTCATCAAGACGAGCCGCCGGTGCCACGATATCGGGGCCCCGATTCTCTACCGCACAATCGCGATTGATGCCTGTAAGGCATCCCGGTCCCGGATACTCGAGACCCTGGTCCACAATCGTCACTACGCTTCCTTGGTACGCCGCGTGGCATTCCGTCACTGTGACTTCTGGGGGTACGTGTGTTGTTTGCACTCTATAGCTTGCATTAAGTCCATTTCAGGATGCCCGGGGGCAGCGATGAGCGCAACGTGATGCTCGTCCTTCACGGCCTGCTCCGCGATGCCCTGGCGAACCTGACGCACCTCCAATCAATCAGTTCGCTATGCGGCACTGCGGAGTCGCTCCTCGTGCCCATGGCATTTCCCCACCTCCGCTCCCTCGCCCTTGGTGAATTCACACGCGACACACAGCTCTTCCTCGCAAAACACGCACCGCAACTACGAACACTTGCCATATCATCCGCCCCGGGGTTTCCTTCCTCACTTGATCTTGCAGATCTGCGCATCTTCAAGGGGCCCGCGCCATGTCTTCTTGCTGCTGTCGTCTGTCCTGCAGCACCGCGGCTGACCCACCTCCAACTGAAACAACACGCCAACGAAGCCCCAGCCTCGTCGGTTTTTGCCAGTCTGCGCATCACCATGCCCACGCTGCGCCTGCTGGAGATCTGGTCGTGGGGGACATCCTGGGACATGCCGCTCATGGAGAGTATCGCCCGCGTCGCGCCAAACTTGGTCTCCCTGATGCTGTGCGTCGAAGCATACTGGGCGGGGAGCGGGATGGCGGAGACTCGTGACGTGTGTGCAAGCGTTTTCCATTTCCCGCACTCCACTGATTCCGTGACTCGTAGCGCTTCATCGCCACGATCAACAGCGCACTCCCGCGACTGCCGCGCCTCTTCCATCTCGAGTTCTCACAGCCGTTATATGCCAGTTACAACGACGCTGAAGACACGCAGGCGCAACAGTATATCGAGCAGTTGGACTGCGAAGCGGCGTGGGTAAGACAGTGGGGCAGCGCGTCTCCCGGGCTTGGTGTATGCACGTTGCCGGCCACGCGCTGGTGGCGGCTATCGCGCGAGCTGTGGGCGCCGGTGGCGATCACCAAGGGCTATCAGGATCTGATGGATCACGAGGGGCTGGGAGACTTGTCCACCTGGACGCGGCGCAGGACGGCCGCACAGGCCGAGGAGGTCGCGGCCGCGGGCTTGCATCGACGGGCGGAGATCCGGGCCGGTGCATCGCTATTTGCTCGCCGGCTGTCGGAGTTCTTAGCGCTCAAAGAGGACATTTACCAAGAATTTGAGGTGCAGTTGAATGTGTAGCTCAATTGAAATATATAAGAGAATTCGTGGGACTTGGGAAATATTTGAGAGGACTTGCGAAGTGAGGATTGTCAATCATGATAGTTGTCCTTTGAAATTTGGGGGGTTGGAGCGGGACGGAGGGAGGTTCTTACTGGAAAGAATGAGCCGTTGTACAGTGCTACAGAAGGGCAAAGTTGCGTACCTTGTGGGTACATAGTCCTGGATTGAGCATTGTAGCTAGCGGCAGGCTTGGATGATGGGGTGAGAGCTGTTTATTTAGCACGCAACCTCGGATTTGTGGCAATACGGCCCCGTTTTCCGTCCCGACGCAAGTGGAAATCACTCGAAGCTCAAGCAGATGGAAATCCAGACGCTGTGAAGTCCATAGCAAATCCGGAAGAGGGTGAGGAAGCGGTATACGCGAAGCTAGGCTCAGAGCACCGATTTCACGTTGGTGACAACTTACAAGAAGCAGTGCTGGCAGGCTGCAGGTGAATATGTACCATTGTAATCGGAGCAAGTCAATTCACCCGAGGCGCATCTGGTCATCAAGGTTGCTCACGGTTGGCGAGATAGGCAAGTGGAGATGTTTCATTCACCAGGTATATTAATACACGAGCTATCAAGCTCCAGTCAGCGCACGACACAACGACGAGGAATTGTAAACGCACATATTTACTCTTCTCAACTCTCTCAGTCTCATATCATCCCCATCCAACGTGTTCGTGTTTCCATCTCTGCCGGCTCAACCGGGACTCTCCAAGAAGTACAGCTTGCAACAGTAGGCGAAAGTGGTGGTATCCACGCACCGTGAGGCACAAGACGAGACGGCGAGGTGTGGCGCGAGGCTAAGCTGGCGCTGGACGCTTGCGGGTTGGGACTAGCTTTGTGCTTGGGCGGAGGGATGAGACGGCCGCAGACATTGTTGGCAAAGCGCGCGGGGGGAAAGGGAGGAAAGGAAGGCAAGATCTGCGCGTGATTGACGTGGCGCGCACGGACCATACTGTCACGCACGTGCCACGTCATTCGCGTGTATGACGCCACCGTCACTCCTTGCTTCTGACCACCATGGACGACGTGCCAGACGAGCTTATCGACCTCATAGCGCGGTCTTCCCCGCCAGCCGATACTGCATCTCTGTGTCTCGTCAACAAGCGCCTTGCCACCATCTGTCGCCGGTCCTTGTACCACACCACCACCATTGAGAGCTCCAACGCTGCACGGACGATTTCCCTCATAAAGACACTCGCTGAAGCACCTCGGTGCATAAGATCTGTGCGGCGCCTCGACATGTCAGTCGTTCATCTTAAGCTTCTGCGCTGCCAGTGCTTTCAAGTATAATACTAACTGTAAACAGTATCAAATTGGATATAGAAGCGCTCGGAAAACACGACTCCTTTGGCGCTGACGAGCTGACTTTGCTCATCTGGAATGCGTTGAGGAACGCTGAATGGGTGGAGACCTTGTTTATCCGTGGCGCCCAATCTCACGGCCCGGGACACATCAAGACGTGTGTACTTGTTTTCTCTATCAGGTTCCCTCGTCTCCGATCTTGCACCATTCCATACTACCCAGACGTGACCCTGGAATTCCTCCAATGTCATCAGGCAACACTCCAGGTGCTCACCATTTCCGAGTCTATCGCAGCACAGGCTTTGTTTGCAAATGCCGATACTAGTACTAAAGACTGGGACTCCGAGTCAGCGACGATACCACCAGTCACGTTACCCCACCTCACGAGCTTCGCTGGGCCATCGGAACTAGCTGAACGCTGGCTGCTGCATTCCTCCATCGAGCGTCTCGTCCTTACTTGCTTCTCTGGCCCCGATGGAGCGAGAGATGTTTTGCGCGTAATCAACACCGCGGCCCTCACATCATGCGCCTTTTTTGTCCGTGACGGATGGGACACTGCTAGTGCGCCATTTGCCGCAGTCGTTGCCTATGCGCCATTTGTTACCATGCTCACTCTACTTGCTGGTAATACTGTCGATCGTGGTGATGTAGACGCGTACGAGGTAATTTACTGCCCTTTCCGCAAGCCTGAGCGGAGATAGCTAAACAGTCGCAGGCCTTTCTGGCGTCCATCAATGTCTTCCTTGCAAAACTGACCTACTTGAAAATACTGCAGCTACCGACGAGCCGGCGCAGTCCAGATTCGAATTCAAACGGAGACCACTTTGCGGAGATTCAATTTGCAGCTCTAGAGATCACCCATCTCCGGCGCTGGGCCGCATGCTGCCCGACGCTCGTCGATGTCACGCTCACCAAGGGGTGGAGCTGGGTGGCACACATGGGCACGTGGCTCAGACATGACAAGCTTCATAGCACCGGGCGGATTACGGCGGAGACGATCGCGGGTGGCGAGCAGATGCCCGGGTCTGAAGAAGAGAAGAAGGTTGCACATGCCGAATACCACACACGCTTGCAGGAAATCGAGGCGATGATAGGGCCCACTTTATCTCTCATGTTGAATGCTGTTCCCTGAGCTGCGTCCAATGGTTCCTTTCACTTTGACATTTTAATAGAATACGATTTGCGTGACGAAAGAGATAGCAAGGGCTTTTGTGGTTGCCCATCGGAGCGGCGACGTGGAGAAGTGAGCAGCAGCAATGGAAAGCGGCAACGGGGCACCGTATATTCGCAGATGAGAGCAACAAGCCTGCGCGTGGAAAGCACATATACGACGCGGGCTAAGACAGGTCGGAAGCTCAGCGACGATGGCTGTAAACGGGCAGCAGAGTGTTCGCTGAAGGGTTTGCTTAAGTAAGGCAGCGGGAGCACATCTACTTGGTTGGAAGGGCATTGTGTTTATTTAAGCCAGGACGAAGAACAGGTCATAAGCGCTGTCCTTGCGGAGTCAGTGGGACATCATAGACGTGGAAAATAAAGCGCACCCCCAGTCCAGTAATGTCGTATATCCCCGCGTTCCACACCCGCTTGTACATCCCCCCAACGTCCTCCATTGCGCGGCCTGTGCAGGTGCGTCGTCGCTCAGCTGACAACAAGCTTGCACACTCGGCGTGGTGTCTCCACATTGTCTAGCAGGGCCGGACGAGAGGCAGTCAATATTCCCAGCCTTGACAAGTCCTCGGCGCCAGGAACAAGGAAGCGCGCCCGCCACAGAGCCGCGCAAGCACAAGGACGCGCTGGGGGATGTGGGGGAAAAGGAAGCAAGGAATGGCACTTGGCGCGTGATTGACGTGACGCGCACGGACCATGCGGTGCCGCACGTGCCACGTCATTCGCTTCTTCGTTCCGACGTCCATCTGCCCGGCCGCTCCACTGCTTGCCGGACGTCCTGGAGCCTACGGCGGCGGGGAGAACGAGTGTTGGTGGTCCAAGGTAGGGTGTTTGGTCCTGGAGCCTGCTTTCTCACGCGTTCGATACTTAGACGGAATGGTCGTCGCGAGGAGACACTCAAGAGGAAACAGCTGCTGGTGGAATGTTAGGTGCGCTATCTTGCGCTGCATCCGAGCGCTTTGGGCTGGCGAGAGTGGTAGGTGTCAGGGTTCGACAGCGCCTGGTGCCTGAACGACACGCTGCATAGTACGCTCGCGCGGAGCGAAGATGGTCATTGGGCAGGCAGGAAGATAGGGAGAGGAGGAAGTAATCCCCGGAGCAGGAGAGACAAGTAGCGAGCAGGTGTATAGGGTGCGTCCTCTCCGCTTTCTTCAGGCTCATCTTCGCTTACGTGCGGCGTCCAAACGTCCTTAAATATTATAGTGCCAGGCTGCCAGCGCAAAACCACGAACTGTACAACACGCCACAAGCGCACGGTTCCGCGCGACCTCGGACCGCTCTGTACTGGCCTCTCCGGCGGCGCATATGGAGGAACGAACACCCTAGCTTCCGAGAACGACACTCGAAGGCGTTAACGGTGCGCCACTCTATTTCCTCATGTACATCTAAATGTGGCACGACAGAAAGAACTCCATCTTCTAGCGCAACAGGTGTATCAGTGGCCGCCACGTCCCCAGTCCGCGATCCCGGCCCTCCAACCCTTTTCCTTCCTGCCCGTGCCATTCAGCTGGTTCTCATGCAGAGTGCTGGAGAATCCGATAACTGCTAACTCATCGCAGTGTCCGACGGCGCGGACGGTATCGCAGCTGCAACTGGCAGTGACCCCCGTTAGCGTCCAGCTGAACGATAACAGCAAGCCAATGATGGCTCTGCATCGCCTCCCGACGCGCGTACGCGTCCTCTTCCCACAGTGCCAGTGAGTCATTCAACAACCAACAACAGACTGACAATAACTTGACTCGAAGGTGATCGAAACCCGCGCGGTACACACAGCTGGAGCGGCTGTGATACCCCCTTGCCGCCCACAATTGCACAGAAATGGCGCCAACTTGCCGACGGGGCTCTCGAACTCGCAGTCGCCGTTTAAAGCTCGCTTCAAACATATATCGATACTATACCGTGACTTCCACGAGCCGTCTGTCCGCGCAACCTTTCAAAGCCCCACAAACTGTGAATACGAGAAATATTATATTTGGTGCGTGTTTAATTCCATCCCTGATTCTTATTACGGCGACCCATGCGGATAAGCAGTACCTCCAGGAACACATTTGCTTTCGCTTCGTCCAGCGGGTAGATCTTGTTAAAATTGGTGATTGATTTGAGGACGCGATCAAAAGGAGCGAGGATTTGTTTGCAATCGCAAACTGGTTAGAGTTCGATGCGTTAGGGCAAACGATGCCCAACGCTGTACTTTATTTTATCTTATATACTGTTTTACATCCTTCTAGTAAGTTCTATATGAATCAGCAACATTTGAGTCAGCGCAGGAAAGGAAATTGCTGGAATATTCGCGGCGAGTCACAACTGTGACCATCATAATTTCAACACTCCCCCATGACGAGCCGCTCCCCCATGCCGTGCTCCCCCATCAGTCGCCGTCCATCGATACCTCCGGCCACACACAGTACACCATGTGACATAGCTATTGGCAGTCCGTCGCCAGCTCATGCGCCCCATCCGCAAGTGTCGCACACCCCGGATTGCCGAGGCCTGTGTGC